ATTTCGAGCTGAAGTTAAAATTGTCCCAAGGTTGTAACTCGGGAATTTGGGAACGAAAGATTCGATTCGGAAGATCTACGGATGTCTAAAATTAAATAAGAGAATAATTGAACTTCGAAATGTTCAAATTCGAGGCTTGAGAATACAAATGAACTTGAAGTTAAAGTCGTCCGGTATAGATGAATAAATGGGAATCTTTTCTAACAGAGTCTATCATGTAATTTCTATTCAAATATTCCGAAGTTCCCCGTTGAAGAATTGTAACGCAAATGAGTGAAAATCTTTGCGAGGAGTTGCGATTAAATATTTTCAAGCATCGACAATCGACCGTGTCTATCATTCATCGCTGCATTAACACATTGAACACGGCACGAATCATCCAATGATCCAATGATATATTTACCAAAGTTCGTTCATCAATCGTGAAACGAGCAAAAGCTATGGCACAAAACGTAGACAGAACAAGACGTCCTCCAGGTCTCCGTTGAAGCTTCGCTCGATCGCCTTCAAAGACTAATATCCGTTTTATCATGGTTCACGATTTCCGTCTACCACGCCACTACGCGTGTCACTCTCTCGTCTCCTCTTTCATCTCACCGCGCGCTTCTTCTACTCTGTTTCATTCACAAAAAGATATCTTGTCTTGCGTCGCAGGGAGTAGAGAAATTTTATATCGTGTCGAACTGCCTTATATGGAGGAACTGACGTTAGTTTATCTGGAAAAGGAGGACGATGACATTAATGACGAGTTTAGTAAGTGATGCACAAAAATACACGAAAAAAAAAGAGAAAAATTAAAAAAAAACTCAAAGTGTGTGAAAAAAACAAAAAAAAAAAAAAAAAAAAAAAACAAGGAGTGAACAGCAGATACCAATCTAGGTCCTTGACTAACACAAGCTATCGAACGTGGTTTTCGATCGATACAGACCCTCCTTTTTAATTGCAGTTATTGTTATATTTTTTTTTTTTGTTTTCTACTTCTTTTTCTTGGTTTTTCTATTTAATTTGTGCTTTTTTTTTTTGTTTTGTTTCTTAATTCACACCGATTCCCCGTCCACGATACGAGCACTGACAAAACGCCGAATACGCTTCGCGCAATTGGGACAGTCGCGACGTGCGCTTTGTGTCTGTCTGGTTTTCTTTCGATTTCTTTGTAATACTAATTATCCCCATGTAGATTCTTCTAACGAGAGTCGCAGACACGCTGCGTAAATCACAAGAGATCGCTTCTTATTGATTTCTCAGTTACGCGCCCATAATCATTTCTTTGATTGATCGAGCGAAAAGGAATACAAGCTTCGCAAGACTTCAAATGACGTTAAACGATTTCAAAATCAAACAATACGAGATGTAAGTTCCAAGATCCCCGAGAGATCTTTTCGAAACAAAATCGAAGAAAAATTGGAGAGAAGGAACACTGGCGTCGATAAGAAGCGACGCTTTCTGGTAATCGTATTGAAATTGTTGTAACCACGTAGTGTGTATCGATTATAAAATATAAACCAACCCCAACACATCGCCAACGAGTGTATTTAGCATAGTCGCCACGTAACTAATGCCACGTCGACCTTGATACTCGTCGATCGCCTAAACTTCTAGACTTCTAGGGAGCTTACCACCCTTATTTATCCTCCCTTGCTTCGATCTCCTAGGTGCTAAAGCATGGATCATTTTCTCGTTCGAGGTGGGCAGTGAAACGTAGTTTTATTATACCCGGCGTCGCGTTTCTGTATTATTCTTAATCAGAGTGACGTAATACAGAGTGACCAGTTTTAATCTATAAATGCAAATTATTGGTGAGCTCTCTATTATATAAAAAAAAAAATATATATATATATATGGTTCGGATGAAAAACAATAGTTCCGAGGGAATGCGATTAATTTTTCTGTAGCATAATTTTCGAAGCAAATCGATGCAACTTATTATTTTCTACAGAGTTGAGAAATTTTATTTGGCTTTCTTAAATGGAGAAGAAAAAAATGTAAAAATCTAAAATCTGTAATGTCTTCGAAGATTCGATTAATTATTTACAAAAGTAATAATTTTAATTAATTAATTATTGCTTAATCGAGTAGTGCATTCAAAATTACACAACTATACTTAAGAAAGTTCGCTTTTCGTCCGAACAATTGTTTTTATACAACAGTAATTTGCATTTGTAGATGGCAACCAGTCGCTCTATATATATTATTGTCTCTGTCTAGTTAAACATTTTCAAACGGCGATCAAAGTTTCTTGCAATCGAGATAAAGAGAATGTTTCGAGTTCGACCGTGTCTCGTTCTCTCTCGTAATCAATCGGGCAGATCGGGAAGTTATCTCGCGCATCGAGAGAGAAACTTTTGTTCCCCAGCATCTAGCTGTTTGTAAGAGTGGAAAAACATTCTAACCGAGGATATAACAAAAGCTTTCTACCGCAAAACCCGGCCGTCGTTGGAAGACACGAGTGTACTTTATACTGGCAATTGCAGGCAGCGAAGAAAACGTGCTGTCGTACGAGGCAGTCCAGCAGCTCACCATACAGTACACACGACCTGTCATTATCCTCGGCCCTCTCAAGGACCGCATCAACGACGACCTCATCTCGGAATTTCCCGACAAATTCGGCAGCTGTGTGCCACGTGAGTTGGAACAGACTTCAATCTAGCGACGAATCTCTCGGCGAATCGCCTCCGTAACGATGCAGCTTGTTCACTAATTAAATCCGCGCTGTATTTCTTTCTTTCTTTCTTTCTTTCTTTCTTCGGTTATATCAGAGATAACATAACAAAGTTTCTGGGATCTTAATATTCGAATGGTCGAATCGATTCACTTTTTTGAGAATTGATATTTATCAAATATCTCAAAGTCTCGAAGTTTGTTAAATCGTACGCGAATTATTTTATGCTCGGATGTGCTTCCACTTTTTGTTTATTTCAAGAACAAACCAGTTACTTTCGTTAGGTTTATCGTAAGAAGTTGATTCGTAGATGACAGAATTTGAAGAACAGTACTTGTAACTTGTCATTGCCTTTCAATTTCAATCGAGATTGATCGATGTGACTTCTGAAAGTCATTCACCGTGACTTTTTAACTTCCTTCGATCGCGGATTATTGCACGAGATGCTAATGAAAATGCTTTATAGTAGAACGGAGGCGTTAGACGTTTCTTATTTTCTCGCAGATACAACGAGGAGTAGAAGGGAGTACGAGGTTGACGGACGTGATTATCATTTCGTCGCGTCCAGGGAACAGATGGAAAGGGATATTCAGAATCACTTGTTCATTGAGGCCGGGCAGTACAATGATAATCTTTATGGCACGTCTGTGGCGTCAGTGCAAGAGGTTGCTGAGAAGGTAAAGAAAAGAAAATCCACGTGTACAGTGGCTGCGAAAAGTATTTGCACATTGCTTGTATCCGTTATAAAATTTACATAATGTTTAATTAGTGATTCAAGCATGTTAAATCTTGCGTTATTAACACTGGAACCAAAAACACGATCAATTCGTGATTTTTTTTTAGAGAAATCTTATAAATTCGCGAAAATTTGTCTTTAGAAATTTATATTTGTGATGTTTCGTAATATGTAGGAATTGAAACTTGTGTCATATAAATCTCCTTTTATTCTCCGACATTATTTTGATCCTTTTAATCCAAGTTTTATATTTCAGTGTTAGATAGTACTTTCACGTAACTGAGGGAATTTGATATTACGAAAATGAAATATACGTGCAAATGCTAGGGCGTGTGGTAGCCAGTAGTGTAAAACCAAATCACAGTGGGCCATAACATATTAACACAAATTAATAAAAATGAATGACAGGGAAAACACTGTATTCTGGACGTGAGCGGAAATGCCATCAAGAGGTTACAAGTGGCGCAGCTGTATCCCATCGCCATCTTCATTAAACCGAAGTCCGTGGAGTCAGTTATGTAAGTGGCGATGCTTGCAACGATTCGTTTTCGAAACTCGAGCTACGGTTTAACGAGCGATTGTTTCGTCTTTAAAGGGAAATGAACAAGAGAATGACCGAGGAACAAGCGAAAAAAACGTACGAACGAGCACTGAAGATGGAGCAAGAGTTCGGAGAATACTTTACTGGTAAGTGATTTCCAGTAATGTCCCGAGTTTCGCCACGAAACCGCGAAAACGAGGTGACTTTGCCGAGTAAGTTGAACAATTTAATTGGCAGCGACGAACGATCGATAAGTTGAAGAACGAAGTTCGTGTTCCAAAAAACCACGTTTCGAATATTCAATTTTATTTATCAATAAGTATCGACCGCCTTTTATTTCCACAATTGTAATTCACGTTAATCCGACTGTCAAATGGCCGCAAAATTCTTTCATATAATACAATTAAATGCATCTCGTTGGATCTTGAAGATTAAAGACGATCTCTGAAAATATTCTCCACGAAGTTACAAGAGCTCAAACTGTCGACGAATATCTCATCGAGAATGGACCAACTGCAACATTGTTTCCTATTTTGTTGCAGCCGTGGTGCAAGGTGACACACCGGAGGAGATTTACGTGAAGGTGAAGGAGGTGATCGCCGAGCAGTCAGGCCCGAACATTTGGGTACCGTGCAGGGACCAGCAACTGTGACGTCCTGCCCCCCACGCTCAGCCCGGTCCGAACGCTTGGACCTTACCTCCGAGGCGTCAAGCTTAATCACTAATAAATTAATAAAGTAATCGAGTAACTCTCTAATGCCTTTCCTGTTCCCGTCCCCAATCCACGTCCCCACCTCTCACTCCGCTCCGTCGCCCACACACCCACACACACACATACCCACCCAATCGAGTAGCACAATGTCCCAATTAAAGGCGTTAGCCGTGCACCAAGCTCGTTGAGAGAAGAAAAAAAGAAAGAAAGAAAAGAAAGCTTCGCGTCGAGTATGACAAAGCTGACAGTGCGCGAAGGTTTATCAGAATACGTAGTACTTTCACGAGAGGAGATTAGATTAAGGAGAAAAATAAAAGAGGAGATAATAATAATAATAATATTATAATAATAATAATATAATAATAATAATAATATAATAATAATAATAATAATAATCGCGAGCATGTCTGAAAACGCATGTTCGGAGAGTCTCGATGTCCGTGAGAACTCGCAACTCGCGCGAATCGTTCATGCCGCGAGAGAAGGGAAGTTTCCCTTCGATTGTTGATTATATAAGGATAAAACAGACGACGGCGTGTTCCCGCCTGCAATTGTTATCCGTTTTCGACGAGAGAGATCCGGCAACGCGGAATATTCAAGGCGTTTGAACGATCCTTCCGGCGACAGAGATTGTCAGGAGGGATACGTGTTATAGTGTTAATACCGGAAGAGCGTTGTATCACGATGTTTTATCTCATGCGTTTCCACGTGACGAGTGTGGGTTTGCCGAGTGCGAGAAGACAAGAAAACACCGTCGTTCCTCTCCCCGTACACTTGTCACCGTGTTGAATTTTTTTATCACTGTGTTAGCAAAACGACAGGCACGAATACACGGCAATTTCGAGCTCCCCTCGAGGTGTCGAGGAACTTTAAAAGTTACTTTCTAATTTGTAATTTGTAAGTGAAAAGAATATAGCACGGATGGAGACGCGTCAGTCGTGTATTCGTCTCGGAATCGATTTTTACTGCGTGTGCGCGACGACTCGACAAGCGCAGCGAGGCTGACTCGTCGAGGAATCGTGCGTTTTACCGAAAGACTCGCGTCGCGGTTCGTCGATTCGAATCGGACCGCGGCGCGTTCTGTGTGCGTTACGTTGTATGTGTCACGCGATCGCTTGGAAACACGATGAGAGAGAGAGAGTCGAGTAAAAAAACCGAGTAACCGTTGCACCATCGAAGTCGAACGAGCGAGAATACGACGGGAGGAAATAATAAAAGATAGTAGATGTTTAAGATAGATTTTCGTCGCGATTGTTTGTACGACGCGCACAGCACGTTAGAACGCTTCATGCAGAGAATTTTTTTTTTTTCACACGCAAATCGCGACGATCACGACGACGAAAGCGTGTAAGAGGCGAACGAACGAGGTACGAGAGTGCGCTGAAAAATAAACGAAAAGAAAAAAAAAATGAAACAATAAAACATAATACTTGGCTTCACCGAACATACTATATATATACATATATATGTATAGCTTGGCCCGGTTAATTCTGAGCGAAGTAGCGCGGTATTTTTTAATGTACTTAATCGGAATAAGAAGCGAGCGACAGACAGAAGGGAATCGAGAAGATTCATCGTCTGACGAGATGGAAACTCGAATGTAGTAGAAACCCACTGACTGGACGAACGAAATAGAGACACAAAGAAAGCTAGAGAAATGAGATAGTGTATGAGATATTCTCACTCAGAGTCTGTTCTATGGCGTGTCTTTTTTTTGTTTGTTTTCTTTTTACTTTTTGTGTTGAGAGACGAGAGGGAAGTAAGAAGGAAAAAAAGAAATAAATAAATGAAGATGGAAATGAACAAGAAACGACAGGACCCAGACGTATGTTACGAACCTCACGATTCATCAAACCTCACAGGACAAATCTCTAGATGCTAGAATAGCGATATATAATGTTTTGTACAGCTAGATTACTAAGCCAGTACTGGGTTATGTGCAACATTATATACATATATATATAT